CTGTGGTTCTTGCAGGATGTAGCATATTTCAGTTTTAATGTCTGTTGTTGCCTCTGCAAAGGAGGTGTGCTTGCTGGAGTTATAGATTATATCTGGTGTCACTGTATGTCACTAGGATCTCTTGTCGTGGAGGAATCTCAGCTGGTTTAATTACATTGAGCACTCTCCTTTGCAGCCAAGGTGTAAGACAAAAAGATGATGGTTGAAATCTGTAAAATGTTTAGCACTTTTTTCTTCTTAGCAAGTCAAGGATTCCGGGTTCTTCAGTGGCTTCTTACACTCTTTTGGTCCAGTTAGAGACTTCTTTTCAAATTTCTGCTCATTTTGTAACAGAAGTCAAACAGTTATCCAAATTATTCTTTAATGAAAAGGAGAATAGTTTCAAGCTGAATCTGTTTTTACTGCAGTCCACTAAAAGCAGCTATTTGACCAGTACTAAATACATTAATTTGACTTTTAATTGATAGTTTATGACAGGAAGAAACATATTTATGAAATTTGTTATCTTGCTTTTAATGGATCTGTTAGTGCTTCTAAGCTTAGCTTGGCCTTTAATGACCATAAAAGTAATTTTTTTTTTTTAAACACTGGTTTTGTTTAAGAAGTCACGGTCTTACTATGCCCTTTTTTGCATAGCCTTTTTTTAAAAGGAAGTTAGATTTAAACCTGACAATATTCTCTCGTAGCTTTTAGTTTAACATTATAAAAATCTGCAGTATTCTTAGGCAGTAATTTAAGTACTGGTGGTTCCACTTCATCAATAATATCTTGAAAATACATTAGTTCAACATATTCCTGTTTAAATTCTAACTCTTAACTGGACATAGCTGTAGCTGGACATGTACCTGGGTGAATTTATTTCAGTGGTAACAACTTTAGTACTACTTTTTGCAAATAGGCACATTTCTTAAAATGTCAACCATTTCTTAAAATGCCAACCAGTGCGCTGCACCTGATGTTCAGGGATGATAGTGTTGGTTCTTATAATTAATGTCAGGTAATGTGATTGGGATAATATTTTTATGGTCAGTCCTTGGATCAGGGGATTTTAGAGTAAAGCAGGTAATTTTTTTTTTTTTTACTAATATTTTAATTTCTGTATTTGTCAAGCACAGAATGCAAGGTTTTACTTCAACCTACTCTTTCTGGATGTAGCATTTATAAGCACTCTATATGTAGAAGTCTGAGTTTTCTGAGGCAAATGCTTTATTGTTTTATTTTTTCTTGGGGGGATGAAACGTATAAATAACTGTAAGCAAGCAAATGGAATATGTTATTGTACATCGCTGATGATACATACTTAAGAACTGATTCAGCAAACAGTGAAATGCCATAAATTATGCTGTTTTTAACAAGCCACTGAGGGTGTTGCTAAAGTGTACCTGAAGGACTTTTTTATAAAAACATCTTAGAATTCTGCACATGTGCAATATTCAGATAACTTATGCCTATTAATAGGAATAATGTATTTTAAAAAAATTAAGGTATAGTTCTCAGTTGCACTCTTGGTGTTTGGATGTTTTAGTTAATATCAAAACCTACAGTTGTTATTGTAGTAAAATGATAGTGTGAAATGGATGCTGTTATAGTATAACAATAAGGACGTGACTCATGTATTTTATGTACACATGCATTCAACTGTAGTGACAAATGGTTTCATGCTGTGTGATTAAATGCATATTAGCATTTGCCCTAGGCATTTGATTATTACCATCTTTACTTCATTACATTACCACACTGTATGGCCATATAATTTATAAGATAATACAGACATCACTTTGTTGCTGATAGGAATTATTCTGTTTTATGGATGGTGTCCTTTAATTTTGCCTTTCATGGATTATAAAATTGGTTAATATCTGCTGAAGTGAATCACTGGAGAAGCAAATAAAGATGTTGGCCTCGGGTCACAGTGTCATTTGTGATACTGGCAAAATCTTACAGCCTCATTTATCCCTGTACATGATTGATAACACCATGGGTTAAATGGAGAAAGCTTTGCTTCCATTAAAGGATCATCATGAATGAAGACCTCCCACTTAAAAGTCAGGCATGATGAGAAGACAAGAGACTATCTACAGGTCAAATTAAATAACTTAAATAATTTAAGTGGAATGACAGTGTAATTTGTTCATTCTGTGTTATTACCCTGACCCCTATCAGGCTTGTAGGCTAACTTACTTTCTAGTGTAGGGTATTTAAGGTGTAATTTTTAATAAGTGCTTTCCAAAAGATATAAAATCCTTTTTAGCACTTAAAATTGTGTTTAAATGGATTTCATAATGTGCTTTTTAAAAAGTAATCTTTGTCCTTATTTTGTTAAGCATAAAGCAAGTAATAAGAAAAACAAATGTAGTGAATGCTTCAAAATAGGAACTTTTTTAAATTTTATAATGCTCTCACAGCTGCTCCTGATTTTTCTATTATTTTAAAGGTATTCTGACATACTGGTTCTTAAAGTAAAAATGCATCTAATAGTAATATTTTTGGTTATATAAGAGTTGTAGATTGTTTGCTATATCAAAAGGACATCTATTCTACATTTTTACAAGTTCTCTAGACAATTTGTGCTATTAAGAATAGACATTTTCTCAGGGCACGATATTTTTGAAGTATTTAATTGTGGAACTTTTTTCTTTCCTTGTCAAGCATGTAATATAAATTATTTAGCAGGCAGTCAAATTCTTTGCCCTAGTTGTGGTGGAAGAGCCCACGGGGTGCCTCGCACACAGCTTGGGGGAGGAGAGGGAGAGGATCCAACACGTGCTGTGCTGCGCAGCTTGCAGTGGCCGACTGTGAAACGGTTTGTTGCGGTCTCGGAGGAAGCTGTGACCTCCCTGTACTAGACTGAGTACAAATTACCCAGGAGAAAATAGTTGTGCGTGATGACGGGATGGCTGAAGGCTCAGTGAGCTTCGCTCCAGAAAGCCTTTATCCTGACTCGCCACATTAGGGAGACAGTATCTGCTTGCCAAGTGAGGCCCATTTTCTTCTTTGGCTTCTCTGGGGGCATCTACCTTACTAGGATAAGACCCAGAGTTAGGGCACCGTTTTTCTGCTTTGCATTTTTAACACGAGCGTCTTACCTCTTCATTCTGGCTATGTTTGCTGCCAGGAGCCTCTTTCTGCTTCACAGAAACCCATTGCTCTAAAATCCCTGAGCTCTAGAGTTACAATGTGACCTGGCAGCCCGTACAGTGAGAGCATGTCCTAGCACTATATTCATTATAGTCGCAGTAGCTTATCCTTCAGAATGGAATATAGCTGGAATAATAGTGCTATCAAATTCCTCCTTACCTAATCTGTTAAAAATGGTATTAGCATTTTTAGTAGTTTTTTAACTATGAAAACCACCTAATATTTCAAACAGTATAGAAGGTTTTGTTTGTGATACTGTTTGTAACTTTATAGATAGGACATCTGTCGGTAGGGAAATGACTTTGAGAATTTGGGTGAAAGAAACAATCTTCTTTTCATATGCTTTCTGTCATTTCATTCCATCATTTTTAAATTCTTTGCCTTAAAATGGTTTCTTTACTTTATATCACAGTGCTTTAGCTAAAAAAAGGTTAAGCTTAAATTTTATCTAAAATGTGTGTGTATTGGTTAAATGCACAGTACTTGTTGGCAAGTTGAAGCAACAGTTCCGTTGCCTGAACTGGTTTATGTCTGTGCATAGTTTTTTATTCAGACTTATTCATCTTCTTCACAAATACATGTTTTGACACTGGAAAAGGATCTTAAAAGCTTATTTTTGTCTTTTCAAACAGCTCAAAGTATTCACCATGTGTTTTAAGATGTATGTGAGTCTTTGTATGGGATTGTTTGTTTATCAGCAAAACCATCATTTCAGTAACTTCATCCAACTTACTGTTAGCCAGGTAAATGATCAGGGAATCCATCTGTTATCCATGACCAAGCAGCTTCAAATTGAACTGCACTGGTTTGACTTGGGCAACAGCATGGGGGGAAAAATAAAAATAAATAAAATGTGGTAAGCCCTGATTTGTAGTTGTTAGGGCTCCATGATGCAGACCAGGCCTCCTCCTGCAGTAGCCACTTCCGAAGGGTTCTGTGCTCGCAGCCGGCTCAATCACAACTCCTGTACCCTGTCCCTTTTTTTCGGAGCTGTTAATACAGGAAGCACACCCGGTTATGGTGGTGGGAAGGGATAGTGTTGTACTGAAGTGTATGTGACCAAGTTGTTCTAGTACACTGCTGGAAGTTGTCATATCTATCAAAAAACTATATCGAAAGTAGAGATGTTGCCTATTCATAAATAAGGCCAAATGCTTACAAAGCTGAAGAAGTAGCATGGTGCTCTCCTCTGCTCACACTAACAAATATGCCTTGCTCCTGCAGATGTATGCATGCATTGCATAAATCCTTGTTCGGCAATAGGTAATGTGAAGCTCAAAATACTGATACTTGATTTCATGGGAGTAGGAGGAAAATGCAAACCATTTTTTCTCCTTAAAGTTCAAAATATTAACTGTAAATATTAACCCCACGTTTTAGCTGTATTTTATGATCAGGCCAATCTGAAGTGTGTGTGGTTTTTGTTGTTGTTGTTTTAATTATTATTATTGATTTTTTTTGTTTTGTTTGTTTTTTTTTTTTTAAATTTTGGGGATGACTATGTTATGTTGTTTTATTGTGGCCTGTTGTGCTAGTTGCAGTACTTGCTTGCCAGTGAAGGGCAGTTACTCTGGAAAAGCCTGTACTATGTTTATACTTATAATCTTTGTCTAAAATTAAAAAGTCAAAAATAAGAGTAAAAAGAAAGCGATATGGTGAATTGATGGTAAAGCTGTTTTCTATACACTGCCACACATTCATTTAAAATAAAAGTGGTGGTAATTATGTATTGGCCGTACATAGTATTTTTTCCTTTGTGAAAGGAATTAGCCTTGACATTTGCAAGTTTTGCAGACTGAATATTCTCTTTAAAGATAAACTGAGGAGGAGAAATGCGCTTTTATTTTTCAGAAAACTTAAGAATGGATGAAGACTTTAAGACAAAGACACTTCAAAATCCATCAGACTCTACTCTTCAAAATCCATCAGAGACATTACTTTCTATTCAACTGTTAAATTTCAAAACAAATTTATTGGAGGCAATAGAAGAACTACGTATAAGAAGGGTAAATGTGTTTGTATTTTCTGATTTTTTTTTTGTGTCTTATTTCTCTCTCCTTTATATGATCATAGAAAATTCTTTTCAAGTGTTTGTTAACTTACTAAATTTCATACAATACTTTTAATAATCTTCCAAGCAGCATTATTTTTAAAAATATTGACTTCATATTTGAAATTCTCTGGGCAGCAGAAGGAAAGCAGCTGGAGTAGGAGCCATGAATTAGGCTTTCTTATACTTACCAAAAAATTCTGATAGTTGGTTACCAGAATACTGCCAAAAATGCTATATTTAAATTTTTGTACATTATTATAATCATCTTGTATCTGCAAGAATGAACTTTCATATTAAAGACACACAGTTCAAGTCATTTTTAGTTTTATGTATGTACCCATATTTTATTTTTCTTGAAGATTTTATGAACTGTTGCCTTTTTGGAAAGGCAGAAGGATATAGGTATTTGATTTTGACCTGTTCCAAAGATGCTGGATTTATTTGAAGTAATAATATGCATGTCATGAATTTTGACAGAAGTCAGAGATTATAATCCTCTTTATAAAAGCTACCTAAGTCTCTTCAGTGGACTTTATTACAGTGTTAGTGTTTAGTCAGGTCTAACTGTTTTTGTATTAAAAAATAACATCTGAAGAATTCCACTTGCCTAATATTTTCAGAACTTTAACCTCATTTTGTAATTTTAATATATTTGGTCAAAGCTTGAGATGTTTAAATTCATGGAGAGTGCCTTCGAGTTTCATCTTTTGAATTTTTTTTTTTCTGTTTTGTCTCTGCTGTGCTACAAGGGTGACTGGTTTTGAACAGATTTTCTCATGAGGTTAAGCCATCTTTTGTCTAAAGATGTTTCTAGTTATAAAATTAGTGATAATTTTAAAAAATACTTGTGCCTTCATTTCCCAAAATATTTACTTGTTTGTAATTGCAAATTTAAGTTCCTCTCCAAATCAAACATTTTACAACTAGTCAATTTGAAAGCTTATGGTATCCCTACATGTCTCTTGTTTGCTGTTCAAATCAGTTCAGGGATGCTTGCTCATTAAGTTTGAAAATTGGAAAATAAAATGCTCTTCTTAATAAGTGAGGGATATAAAATAATATGGCCATATGTAGTGCCATCTATTTTTTAAATAGTAGTCTGTGTGTGTTTTTGCTTTAAAGTGGTGGTGTAAAATCCTTTTCTTATTCTAGTTCTACATCTGTTACATATCCAACTATCAAAGTTAGTAAATTTATAGCCTGCTCTGAGCAAAAGGTGGTGCTTAGGTCACATACTCTAGCTTAAACCATGTTATCCAGCAAATAGGAAAGCGAAAGGCAGAGCAGAAGGTCTGCTGATTTCTCACTTGTTTTGCCATTTCCTTTCCAGGTTGCTTGTGAGGTTCATAGTAGATTGGTAGCCCCATGGAGGCAGCATAGTGAAGTATCACGAATTTTACTCTCAATTTCGTCTGACCTGTGCCTTTACCTGAGATGAAATACTCTACCTCTATGTGAGAATCCAGAATTTTGTAGGCTGGAACTGTACTGACTTGCGGTTAATGGCAGATTTCATATTTCATACATCATTATATACTGAATAACAGGATTATATTGCTTGTGCTAAAGGAGGGTGTAAAAGTAGCAGGTTGTATGAGAATCAGTCACTAAACGGGGAGGTGCCTTGTTTGATTTGTCAGGATTCATGTTCTAGGCTCACAGCACAGGCACGTGGGGATCTCCCAACTTCCGGACTTCCAGTGGAGTGAAAAGGCTCCCATTATTTCACTCCAATGTGTTTCATTTTGTTCCTTTGACTTTAGTCTCCCTCCCTGTCTCTAATGGTTTTCATTTTCCTATTTTTCCTATTTGTTTGCATGTCTTCTATTGCTGCTTCTGTTGCTGTATAATCTAGACACCCATTTTATACTTGCTTTTATGCTACATAACAAAATGATCAGTGAGTAGTCATGGAGAAAGAAAATAAAAGAAATTTGCGCTTTTTCTTTTTTTTCTTCTCTCGCACTTTTTTTTTAAAAAAGAGGCAAATCCTGAAATCTGTAGCCTGTTGTCATTACACAGATATTTTTGGCTCTCACAGTACCCCATCCTGAGCTTTCACCATCAGCTGTCTGCAGAAGCTCTAGCTCACCCTTGTTCTGCTGAGCTGCATGTGCTCTTCTCAGCTAGATTTGCATGAGTTTATTGCAGTTCTTCCTACTTTACCATTTTGATGGCTTTGGCTAATCTGATTTCTTTAGCGGTACCTTGCCTTTTTTTCCAGGTTTTCTTAGGGGGAGGACATATAAGCTCTTCCTGAGCTGCTTTTCTTCATTCCTTCATTCACGCCCAAAAGAAAAAATGGTGTTTGAGGTATTAAGTGAAGAGTATTAACTCATTTATCAGGAGAAGCGAGGTGGGATTACACTTGAACTAGTTAAGGTATTAAAATATTGATGGATATGCCGGTTGTGCTCATAAAGTTCATATCTGTTAGTTATGTCTAGAATGAAAATAACAGGAGTGTTATGATACAGCAAAAACTAAACCTTACTGGCAGAACGTACAGGAGAAGAACCAGTAGTCTTATAAATGGATTTCTGCCTAAATGTGAGTTAGGGTACTTTTTAGCAGGAAAAAGTGCTGAGAATAAGTATCCTAAAATAAAAGAATAAACAAAATAGAAGCTTCTCCATCTTGTAATGGAGAGCTATGCAACATTGTTGATTCATTAAGACAGTAAGTGGTACGTTAGCTTATAAAAAAACTTACGTTCTAGTAAATAATGTGGCTTTGGATTAGGAGCATGATACCTGGTGAGAAAAGAGTTGTGTCAAATGTAAGCGGTTAAAGGAATATGTCTAGATAGAGAGGTTTTATTTAAATATAAACTCAAGACAGAGTTTCCAAAGGTGAAGAGGTGGCTTCTCTGATTGCATGAAGATGCAGTTGGTAGTGTGCTTCTGAATAAGGAATGCTTCTGAGTATGAATTCCAAAGACATGGTTATTCAAAGTTTTGAATTACTGTCTTAGAATGTGTCTGGGTTTTGAGAACTGTCAGGAGCTAAAATTAGAATAAAGCTGATATGAGTATTTTATTTTCTCAATGCTTGTCCTGGGGACAAAACTTAAGAAGAATATCCATACAGTCTGCTAAAAGTGATACGTGATTGCTTAACTTCGTGAAGGCTATTCTAATTGTACCAGGAGAAAATTGGAAACTAGTTTGTGCTAATATTTGATTGAGCTTCATGAGAAATTCAATGTGCAATTTTGTAGGAGGTAGATTATGAGTTTGAAAAAGGTAATAAAAGTACCTAGCAGCAGTTTTGGCTGCCTGGACATGAGCCAGCTATACTCTGTTCCTAAATCTGTTCAGGGTCAGGAATTGAAGGGGCTTGACCAATCCACAGTGCATCTTGTAAAACTACAGCCTGAAGCAAACACTTTAAAGAAGGCTTGACACTTTCTAAAGGTTATAACGAGTAAATAAACCATCAAATTACTCCTCTTTTATTGTTATGGTAGTCTTTTTTTTATAAAAACACTTAAATTCATGTAGTCCTAAGGCATCTAATAAAAAATAAATGCTCTTAAGGTTTTTTGTTCTTTGATATCTCATCAAAGTTTTGTGCAATATTTTGCTCCTAAGTATAACAACACTTTTATTGCATTAAACAACTGTAGCAACTTTTAAAAAACGCTTCCCAGAGCTTTTTAAAGCTTTCAGTTCAAAATGAGCAGGCTATAAATGTCCTTTAAAAGAATTAAAAATGATAGGTAAGGCTTATAACTGTTAGCCATTTCATAAGATAACATTTTTAATTATGTAATTGTCGTTCTCACTTTGAGTATTTATATGTTTACTTTTTTCTCAGTAGTAGTTACATATATACACATTTTTGATGGTTTCCAGATTTTCCATTAGGATTTAGATTCCGGAGTAAAGTGAAGGAGTGTTGTTAATTCACTCAGTTCTTATGCTCTTTAGTATTCAAATACTCATTAAAAATCTAATACAGTTTTTAAACTTGTATTTATTTAGTTAAGTGTGAATTCATAGGTATAGATATGGCAGTTACTAATTATGCCTTAAATTTTAATGTGCTATTTCTTAAAATAATATCATAATTTTAAACCAAATACATGCCCATATTTATTTGCTAGTATGTTGTTTTTCAGTGTTCTCATGCAGTTTTAAAAGCTTCTTACACATTTTAAAATTAAGGATGTGCATGTTTGATATTGAATTGTCTACCAGTTTCATTTTTAATGTTTTGTTTTTATAAAACCTTATGTACACTAAAGACTTGGTTACATTTAGGTAACTGATGCATTTGGGTAAGTCTCACCCATTTGAATGGAAATATGTCAAGAATTTGTAACATTAGTGTTCACTACATCACTTCACTTTGAAACATTACATTTTCTCCTCCATTTCTTGATAAATTTTATTTGGCTAGATGTTTGTTGATCTTAAACAAGTAGGGAAATCCATTTTGCCATTCAGTTCCCTTGAGGGCAAAATTGGGCTGCATAAACTAAGCTAAGCTTTTTTGTATTTGTATTTTGTATTTATGCTCAAAAGCTGTTATTTCCTTTCTGATGCCAGTCTACTGTTGAAGTTTGTATAAATACTCTAAATCTGTGCTTTAGGCTTAACAAATATACCAGAGTAATTGAGTTTGTAAATAAAAGAATAGGCAACTTTATATAATCTAAAGGAATACAGCAACCATAATGTGTTTGGTTTATGTTTCAAAATGTATACTTCAAACCAAAATATTTAATCTCTTCTACAGCTATATCATGTTTGTTCATATCAGAAAAACAAAAGCTAAAGACATTTTTTTCTGTTTTTGTTGGCCAAATTTTAATTTTCAATGTTTGCTCAATATTTTATATTTAAAGCTTACACGAGTTTTGAGGCAAATTTTTTGGCCCAGAAAGCAACTCTTGAAATACCTAGGAGCAACTTCCTGGGAGCAAAAGTCTGTTATTTCTGTCCACACATGTGCCTCTCAACTTCCTGTTAACCAAGGAAGTTAATCAAGTTTATTCTGCAGATTTTTCTGGTTGGAAAGCAGGTGGTTTTGATCACACATGGAGCCTTTGCTTCCCTTTGCTGTCCAGTGTATAGGCACATACTGTTCTGTATTTGTACCAAATTGTAAAGGAATAGAAGTATGAATACACAAATTGTGTTGATATCTGATTTGCAGGTACTGGTCTTATGTAAATGTGTCGCTTTTTTAACTAGGAAACAGAGATTCATTATGAAGATCAAATAAGTAAAATTGTTGTTGAGAAACAGGAGCTTGAATGGCAGAAGGTTGGTTACTTTTTAAAGTGCTTTTAATTTTTTATTATAATATGGATTGTGAAATATAATAATATAGTTTGTAACTTGATGTAATCCTTGAGTTTATTTTATTGCTAATGTGATAGAAGCCAGTTTACTGCCTAGTCATTAATTTTTGTAACTTTTATATGGATTTTGGTTGTTGCAGTATGCTAAAAATCTACCTAACAGGAGAGTAATATCTCAATTTAGCATGACTGGAAATCTTTAATCAGAAGATATGTAGAACTTGAAGCAAGAGGGCATTTAGTTTGAATCTTGGTCGCACTCTCCTTGGCTTTGGCAAGCGCTAGTACCAGTGCAGTGGTACAAACAACAGCTTTACTTGTAATGTGTTTGAGGGGTAGAAGGGGTTCTGAATCAATTTTAGCCAGTAAGTTACAGGTAATTCCTACCCTAAAGTTGTTTAATTGATCAGAATTAAGTTTTTAGTAAAATGAATCTAATGTTCTTTTTAGGTCTAGGGCTTCTTAGGTTATGCTATCATAGGAAATCCATTCCTTTTCCTAAAACTGTCAAACATATAACCTAGGTCACAAGATAAAAGGCTTCACTGTTTTTCCCTGTGATCATAAAATATAACAACTTCAGTTCTATCCTTGATCTTTTGATTTTTAACATCTTGATAGTAAAGAAAGACTGTTTCTTCTTGGAGTTAATCCTAATCGTCTTAAATTAATAATCCTAACTATGTGCTTTTTTCTGGAATATATGTGCACACAAAAACAGGAAACACATTTGTAGAAGCAACAGTGCTTTTAATTTACAACACTGTTTTTTTTTAATCTAGCATTGTGGTCATTCTCGAGCAACAGTGCTTTTAATTTACAACACTTTTTTGCTTTTCTTAATCTAGCATTGTGGTCATTCTCAATAATGGAAATTTAAAGGAAATGATTCCTATTTTTTCTGAGATCTTAACAATATAATTTCCTGTTAATAAAAATGTGACTTCAAGTCAGATGGACTGTATTTTTTTCTGTACTCTGCATTTAACCTAAGCACATGGCAAACCTAAAGTAAACAATGAGAGTCAGATTTTAGTAACTTCATGTAAGCACATACACAGAGCTGTGAAACTTGAAAGGAACAAGCTAATAGGATTTTTCAGTTTTGCTGAGCCAAGTTAGATGAAAATGCTAAGGTGACATTTAAATTGAATTTGTGATCTAATTCTTTCTGAATGCAGAATCCCATTGACCTCAACAGTAGTTCAGTAAGTAGTAACTTCTCATCTTGGGTTTTAAAAAAAAAAAAGTTTCTGTTGTATTCTTCTTCATAGATTCCTTTCAACCAAGATTTCTCTGATTTGGTATACACTATATCGTACATCTGGCGAACTAATTTCAAATAAGGATATGATTTAAGCCAAGTCTCTGGTTTAATACCATGATTTTAGATGCAAATCTCTGTCTTAATTTTATTAGTATTGTTGCTGCTTGCAAAAATGCTAGGTTGAGTAAAATAGAATGAATGGAGAAAATTTATACACAAACACAGTAAGTATATTTATTATAACATTGTGATGTTTAATGTAGCTGAAGGCACGTCTATATTTTGAGACAGCTCAATGGCAGACCCTCTTTATTTGCTTCATGTAACATTTGCTAGTGTCCAGAACTTCAAAAGCTGATCTTGTAAAGATATATTCCATATGACATCACTTATTTATGTAAATTTTGTGTAGGATCAGGTAGAATGCTTGGGGATCTTAAACTGCCAATTTATGGATAGTAGTATCAGATTATTATCGTATGGAATGAAGATTAAAAAATTGTACATCTAACATTCTTGTATTTTTTATAAGTAGGAGTGTAGCTAGGCAGCAGAATAATTTAAAAAAAATCTTACACTTGACATTTTCTGTTTGCCTTCAGCTCTTTCAGTTAGTATGTTAAATGACTAGAATTCAACTGAAAACGGAATAGCAGATTATTAATTGGTTGTATTTTTAAAGTTGAGATGAAAATTAAAATTCTATTTAACTCTGGAACTGTATTGGGGTTGCTGTCTTTAGATGGGAAGAGTGTTGTATTGCTTCTGCAGCTTGGTAGAATGGGTGAGAGTTTGTTTTGGAGCAACTGAGCAACAACCAATTTGTTTGTCCCAGCAACAACCAATCTGAATTCCAGATCAGAGAATTATAGATTATAAATACTATAAATTTTAATTTATAAATTCCATTATAAAACCATTATAAATTACAAGAGGAACTGCTAACAGAAAGATGATTATCAGTAAACAAATGTCTCTATAGTCTTCAGTCTTTGCTTTTAAAGGACATAATCAGTTAAGTAACTATCTTCTGTTTGAACACTATATGTAAGATTTGCACTACGAATGCTATTTAAAAGATGTTCCTGTTATTTCCCATGAGCAGGAAGCTCTGCAGCATCAGACAGACATGTTGCATCAACAAAACAAAGAAGCTGTGGCAGTCTTTAAAAAACAGGTAGCAAAATAAGGACCCCCAGGCTTGACATGACATTTTTATGATAGCAACAGTTGATATTAAAGTCCTGGAGTTTGCAAACAAACAGGTGAAAACTCATAGAAAACAATACCCAGAGAGACTGCAGAAAGAAGATTTTTGATTTTTGTTGACATTCTCACAGGAAATGTGCAATGCCACAAGCACCATGGAAAGCGAGTGGGTGGGGAAGATGCAGCGAGTCTAGGAAGAGCCCTGGTGAAACAGGCAATTCCTCTAACAGCCTACAGAAGAAAGTATCTCCTCTCATAACTGCTTTCTAGGGCTATTAAATTATGGTCAAGAGTTAGTCATTGCAGAGAATCTGTTTAATCCGTTATTTTCTACTCCCTTTTTTTTTTTTTTTTTTTATTTTAAACTATAGATCTATGCGGGACATTGTAACTATATTGTCTTGTCAAGTTGTATGAATGAAATTAATCCCGTATATTGATTTGTTTTAATTCTTTTATGACAATAAAGTTGCAGGCAAGGGTGTTTGCCATGGAAGAAGAAAAGGTACTGTTTGTAACACTTAATATTTGTCATAGCATTTGTAACAGCATTATTGTTCTTTTTTTATATAAAATATAGTATTATAATTACTTGTGTAATGGTTTGCTTATAGCTTAGTTCTAGTTGTTTGTGAGATGTCATTTTAAAATCTGCTAGCGCTAAAATGTTTGGAGAATAAGTGCTTTTTGATAGTTTTATATTGAAGCTCTGCAAAGTTGCACTTCACTTGGGGATTTTTGGAACAGTCACAGCCTTTTCTGTGTGCTAGTTAACCAAAAATGGAAATAACTGGCTTAGTAAAACCAATTTTAATTGGTCGTGCATTGGTTTAGCTGAGCTGATTTCATGAGGAGCTTAACTAAACCAAAGTACCACATTCTAAAGCCTAAATGTCTTGAGTATGATTTAATTCTATTTTTTAACCATCTGAGTTTCTATAACAGGCTGAGCTGCTGCTTCCTGTTCCAAAAACAGGCTTTGCAGAGGTTATAATAGAGGTGTGTTCTGAATCAGGAGACAAGCCAGTGAATATCTCCATGTGCCTTCTCTTGTCTCACTTAAATTTCTGAGCGACTCTTAAGTAAGAGTGAATGCTTTGTACATCAGAAAAATTCACACAGTAACTTACTGAACACTTAAATGAAACTGCTTCTTAGTGTTGATTTAAAATATTGATGTAAAATAATTTGCTATATTTATCACGTCTAGTGAAGATTTCATTTTAAAACTATTTAAGTTTGTTCTTAAAACATCCAGCCTGTCTATCCTGACCTGCCTATGAGTCCTTGTTTGGATTTTTAATGATCGGTATTGAGTCGAAGGTTGTGTGTGTTTTTTTTTTTTTTTTTTTTTAATTTATTTTTATTTTATTTTTAAACCTCTAGATGCTTCCACTGAATCCAATAGTATTTCCAGTACTGAGTGTGGGGAGGAAAATGTTATCTTTTAGGGCAAAATTTGCATTTAAAGAGCAAATTTTGCTCTCATTTACATTTTTATACATTTTTTTTCTGACTCACTGTGACTGTTGATGGAGTTTGCACACCTGTAGTAGTTTAGAAAGAAAATGCCATAAATAGTTGATTAGTGTGTTTTTCCCAGAGTATTCCCTGCTTTCTTCTTTTATTACCTGAGTTTTTTACCTGATCTAATTCCATTGAAGTCTTTTATTTACTTTCATGTGTTTTTTGTTATGTATACACACTCTTACACCAGCACGTGTGTGTATGTATATGCACAAATCTGTGTATATTTAATAATTTAATGATATCAGAATACTGTTCAATCTCAGCTTAAAAAGAAAGGAAACTGGTTCCATGAAAGTCCTGTGACAGCAGATAAAAAATGGATTTACCCAGAAGGGTGATATTGTCTGGTGTTACAAAGCAAGAAGGGTGTGTGTGTGTATATATATATGTTTTATATATATATATATAAAAAAATCTAGCTTTTGTCAGGCTTCTCTCCCAGAAAGGAAAATCTAAATTTTACTGTGCAGTCCTAAGTATTGAAAACAAACAATTATGTGTTGCTTTTGTTGACAGGGAAAATATCAACTTGCTATAGAAACAAAAGAAAAAGAAACTGATGGACTGAAGGAAGCATTAAAGGCGTTACAGGTGAACCATTACTGTGTAACTTTACTTGGAAGGCAGATGTCATGGTTTGATTTTTCACTGGTGAGAAAATAGTTGTTTTTTGAGAGATCAATTAAGTCCTTCTCATTTCACCTTTCTAGTACATGTGCGCCTTACCTACACCCCTGGGTTTCTATTCTATTCCTCAATGTTCACTAATTTTAATATAGCCATTTCTCTAAAGTTTCTCTAAAGTCAGTGAAAGTCTAAATCAAATGTGATTGTTTGTCTTCATTTCCATGGTCTTCCTCTTTCTTTATTTCCTTTTCTGGATTTAAAGACACTTCTCACCTTGCCTGGAAACTCCAATTTTAGACTCCTAAATAAGCCAGTATTCACATTGGCCTTAAAAGCTATCTGTGTTTTATATTATTTTTCTTGCTTTTGTTTCCCAAGGAGGTTTCTGTATTTTTCTCTTAGCCTGTGGCTTGCAAATATCTCTTTGTCAGTTAAAGTAAAATTCTGTGGGACAAACACACAATTTACTGTAGTGGCACTTGGTGCTATTTCTGTATGGTATTTTATCTTGTTGAATGACACTGGAGAACCCCTCATGGCTGTTTAACAGCATTTGAAATGAAGGAAAACCTCCAGTTTATATTTTTTCAAGAGTACCAGTAGGAATATAGCTAATAGTATTTTTTTTTTTTTAAGGCAGAGTTTGAGATACTAAAAAAGTAGGATGGCAAAGACATGCTCAGAACATAAGATAATTAGTATTGTAATGTGGTGTCAGTTCTCAGGTATTACCAACTTCTAATTATTTCTCTCCTTGTCCAAAAGTGAGTTAACTTCAATGAAAACAATATGGTTATGATTCATTGCAGCTTCAGATTTAAAGAAGAATTTTCTATTAGAAAGATACTCTTTGTTTGTGTTCCATTTTCTTTGAAAAGACTGAGAATTCTAAATTTCTTGTTTGTTACAAGTCAGTTTACACTCTAACTTTAAAAGTATTTCTACTATTGATGTATTTTTTTCCACATTTCCTTGTTATGATGAAGAAAACTCATACCAATATAGTTTTAATTCTCTATTTTTGGGGATGTCCTTTCATCAGGATTTTATGTTAATTGTAAATGTTGGTCATGCAAAAGTATGCAAAATGGTCATAAAAGTTTTTATATACAACCATTCTAAATGACTCTAGAAGTTGGTTTGCCATTAGAGAACAAGTCTTTGAACACTGAACATTTGAAGTGAATATTTGAACTTTGAACATTGAATATGACATAAAGTCAAATTTATAGAGTCTAATAAGTAATCATTAATTTGAAAATACTATTACTGTGCTGGATTAGCAATAAATGGAAGTAAGCCATAGGTATGAGAATACCAACAAAAGCCCTCAGAAAAATGTAGTTACAATTTAATTAACAGCTTTTTTTGTTGTTTTACAGATTTCAAAATACACTTTACAAAAGAAATTGAATGAAATGGTAAGAAATGAATAAAAGTAATAAATAACGGGTTTTATGACAGTAGAATACCAGCTTAGAGTATAATGCAAATGCTAACCAACAGTAACTTAAATAATGAGTTTTAATTATTACAAATAAACCAAAGAGCTGGCATATGTTCTGAATCTTCAAACAAACAAACAAAAACCTGTCAATACAATATTTTTTATATTTTAGACTCTGATAGCTGCTGTTTATCACTTTTTTTTTTTTTTTTTTCCCCCCTCTCCTAAATTGTAGTGGTTCTTAACTGGTACCTTTTGTTTGCTTTATAGATTGAAGTGAAGATTTTTTTTTATAAACTGTGATATTGAACAGTGGAATTATATTACCCTTATACTAATAGGTTTGAACATATTCATTCTTAAGAAGCAAGAGAGACAACTAAGGGGTTGTTTTTTGTTAGTTTGTTTTTGAGAAAGACTGTAATATTTCCTCTTTTATCCTTTCCCCTAGTCTCTGCAGAATTACTTCTTAGCATCAGTTCCCCTGAACAGTTTAGATTTCATTCGGTACCTCTTACTCCCTTTGACACTGAGAATAAATTTGTACAGAGTGACAGCTTAGCCACTCTGAACCCTGTTGTCTGTTTTAGGAAGTGAGAGTGAGCTGCAGAAACACTGCTAAGCTTGATTGAATAAATGCTGTGAAAATTCTGCTGCTGCTCAACTGGAAAGAATAAAGATAATATTGTCAGACCATTATAAACTGTGATTTTAATTAAGAAGCTCAAAAAACTGGCGTCCAGTTTAGCTTTAAGTACCATGGCATTTGTACTGAAAGTCATCTTCAACGCTACAGTGATTTTACACAAAATATGGTGAAATTGAATAATGTGCCCTCTGACCTGGGAGATAAGGCTACAAGTTAAAGATCAAAGGCAACATAAAATGTGTTTTGTCTTACTTCACTTTTTAACTTGTATTTGTTGTTAAAATATATCTAATCTAAAACATAAATTAAACAAATCATTGAACTTACATATAATTTCACATAGTACCTATTAATAATTTGCAAGGACTGGTTTCCATATGAAAAATATTGAAATTGAAACACCTTTTATATACATTAGAAATATGTCTGTACTATTTAAGTAGCTTGCCACTTTATGTTTATCAATTTTTAAATAATTTAGTATTATAATACTTTGAAAAGGCTGGATTACTGTGACTTTGCATGATTATTTAAAATGGTATTAAATGGTGGCAGAGTATTAGAAGCTCTGTTTTAGTTGTGGCACCACTATATTTAACACCTATGGCATGGCCATGTTTATGCTGGATGCTCTCATAGGAGATGATGAAAACAAAAGAATGAAGAATTTAGAAGTTGATTCTTCCAGCTTATGTAGCAGCTTAATACAGTTTTAGACTGGGTCAAATTCTACAGACTTTTACTTGAGTATCTGCACTGAGATCAAAGGTATGTTTTGGAGATCAAAATAGTTTTTAACTTAAGTAGTAACAGCCAGCATCATCTCTCATTTTACTTTTGAATATTTAACTGGAGGAAATTTGCAATTCATACATTTGAGATCCATTTCTATTCCAATTTTAAGCTTGCTAAAGAGATTAGATTTTGCTCTGGCTGGTGTCTTGACAGCAGGGAAATGTACAGTTTTTGTCTCTGGTACCCTGGAAACCCTGCTAGTCACTATAGCAGCCTTGTATCTGCTCAGGAGCTGAGTATGACCCCTTGGCACAGCGCTTTGCTAGGGTTTTTTTCTCTTTTTCTTCCATTCTTTGAATCTAGCATTTGCAATGCTCATACCGCATATACACGTTATTTTAGCTATTATAATACATCTGATGAAAGTTTGCTAGAAGTATGAAATAGTCAGGATTTTTCATTCATATTGAAAGCTATATGAAGGGCAAGGAAATGAAGGACTGCTTGTTCCTGTGTTTTCCCCTATTGTTTCCATTATGAAAGCCCTGATAACCTGGCTGCGTATGCCACCTCTTACACAGTCTGAAGGCGAATGAGATGCTTGTTGCCAAGCTAGCTGTGGGACAGAACAGCCTTGGAAGTGGCTTCTGTGTGGCCTCCCTTTCTTGCCGCTGAAGTAGAGTTGGAGGAAGAGAGTCTTGGCGGGATTTCCTTCTTTATTGGTTTCTTGGGAGGTGATACAATATAGAGAATGCTCTGAAAGTATAAATAAAAAATGATATTAAGTAGGAATATAAATTTTTCATCTGTTCATGCATTCCCCTGTCAACCTGCATTGTCTAATCCTGGGCATGTCTGAAAAAGTAAGAAAGCATTTCTCTTCTCCATTCCATTTCTGCTTGCAGTACCTAAACCTTAAAAGTATACTGTGGTGCTAAAGTGCAAGAGGAAGTCTCAGAGTAAGACTGAGGCTGGTGTTGGTTATTTTGGAGACAGAAACTTGGATGTAGTCCAAAGGAGTGATTTTTGGAGTGTAAAGTCTGTGTAGTCAGTGGGGAGGCATTGGCGTTGGCATCTGCCAGATACTCATACTAATATGGATGCTCAGAATGACTAAAATAGGTAGGGTGAATACATGTGTGAAGACGTAATAATTAGAATAGTTTCACTTGCTGATTGTATTTATATTGGTAAATTAATATTTCTTGGGCATTTTGTTGAAAGTGACGCAAAAGTGCCCAGGCCCATTAAAATCTGTCCCTTTTCAAAAGAAGGAAACTGCATTCAGATGTTCCAGGTGGTCTTGGTAGCAAGTGTCCTGACCTGTGTCCAGGATCCATCTGTGAGAGTGCTAGGTGACCTAGACAGAACTTGCCACGGATGTTATAACAGAGCAGAGAGTGAAGAGAAAGGATGCTCCCCCAGGGGATTCCCTGCCAGTGTTTAGTTCTGTGAAATAGAGGTATCTAGCAAATGAAATGGAAAATGAATCTGTGGAAACAGTTATGTCACTGTAAAAATTAATTTGTTCTTAATCAAAGAATAAGATTTTTATTTCCTTTTCACATTTTTTTCTTTGAATTTACCTGTAATTGTTATCTACAGCAGCACACAGCAGTGTGAATGAAGCGTTACAATATAAATGAAAGGTAATGATTTTGAAGGGGAAAGTGGTGAGACCTGTTTCAGCTACAATAGGAACAGTTCTTCTATTTTGAAAGTTTACAAGTGGCAGCTTTGTGCGTGATTTTTGTTGCTCTTGCCTCAGGTCTCCATGCCAGAACAACCCCTTTGTGTCACTGACACTTTCACCTCCCAGTTACCACCTTCTGTTTCACTGCATTGTTTCAACTAGTGACTCAATTTCCAGAATATTTTTCAGATATGAGCAATTCCTTCCAGTCACCTACCTGACCCTGAACTATTTCCCTGATCTAGTTCCACCCAAAATCATTGTGCCTCGACAAACCATATGGCCACAATCAGTTCCACTCCTCATCCCAGCTTATCTTTATTGCTGGTGAAGGGCAGCGCAATAATTCCTTTTCTTGCAATATCAGACACGAGGAAGGAGAAGCCAGATTCCGTGGGTCTTGCTCCTGGGTCATTCCCTCCCTAGCCTGCAGTGCAGTATCTATCTCCTGGTGTTGCTTTATTGTGTGCGGTGGAAGAATGTTTTAAGATCTCTTTTTGTGAGCAGAAGATTCATATGCTTGGGAAGTATGTCACAAGGCCAACCAAACTGCTTTTGTTTTACTGCACACTAAGCCTGATGTATGGCTTGACATCAAAAATCCCAGTTAGGTATGAGGTAAACTTCGAAGTTTTGGGGACACAGTGGGCCAATTCCTCCTCTCCTTGGAAAGAGTCCTGGGGCAAAAACAAAGCAAAATTCACTTTTCTTGTGAGAAAGACAGAGGGATGCTGATGTGCTTAAGAAATAAATTAGAAGAATACTAAGAAAAATGCATATAAATGCAATAAAAATGTTTTGCCATGACTCATTAGTAGCATTTGTTTGCTCATCAGTAACTAGATTATACCCATGAATGACTGAGTGACATAAATTTTGCATTTTTTGGCTTTAAAAGCCACATCATAGCATTAGTTAAGCACAGTTCTTCAACATTTTGCTTACAATTAGGGAAAAGAGAAAGTATATGAAAATTCATAGCTTATGTTTCTAGCAGTGATCCTGTAAGTGGTGGTGCTTCTTTACTAGTGCTTCCGTTATGACTTTCCATTTGCTGTAATGTGTTTAATTTCATACCTTATAAAACATGAGAAATTTGTATTGTATATCCTGTTTTGCTAGTCTTATGTTGGTCATTTCTTTTGATTACTGTGAGCTTTTATTATCCTCTGATGCTTGGACATGTATTGCCATTGTTACTGTATGAGAAGGGAGCTTTACAGAAGCCAGCCTAGGCCAGACTCATCCTTGTGTAACTGTTGAATTTGCACACACAAATCGGTTTGGCCCAATTCATTTTAATTGCTTTGTTGCTCTACTGAAGATTAGAAATAGACTACATGTCAAATAAACGAATATCTTTTTCTGAGGGGTTAAATTAACCACTCTATTTAAAGGAAATTAATTAAAAAGTTGTTCAAGTAGTGTACATATAAAGCTCTCGTAAAAAAAAATAAAGAACAGAAAAGGGACCTGGTGCATAGGAAGGAGGATACCAAAAAATGTGACATATATTGAATATAGTTTCCTGTAAATATGTGATTTTTTTTAAATCACTTTCTCACAAAACAAGTTATTGGTAAAATTAATGTGATTTAGGTCAATTTTAATTAATTACTCCATGGCATTCTTTGCAACAAGATATTATTTGGGCCAAGAAATTAACAGAAGTGTTAGATTTTTACAACAGTAATTGCAAAACTGCAAATACGTAATCTTAAATTAGAACTGAATTCATCATATTTTGAATTATTACACCTGCTTGTTGATACTGCAGTGGAAATCATAGTGGTTCATTAAAATATTACTTGCATATTCTGTGAAGCATGTGGTATTAATCTGTATTTAACTTGAAGTGCAGGCTGCTCTTTAGAAGCAGTAAAGGTGCTTCTGTTCTTAGCAAGTATGTTGAAATTATTTTCTCTAGGTGTCTCAAGTGTATAGATTTTTCTCCTAAGTGTCTTTTCCCAATGTAATATTTGAAAATCATAAAATGGTTGAGGTTGGCAGGAACCTCTGGGGATCATCTAGTCTAACTCCCTTGCTCAAAGCAAGGTGTAGGGCCACGTCTAGTTGGGTTATGTTCATCTCCAAGGTTGAAGACCCTCTCTTAGGCTGTACCAGTGCTTGGCCACTCTAAGTATTAAAAACAAAAAAACTTATGTTTAAATACGGTTTCCTGTATTACAGTTTGTGCCCTTTCGCTCTCCTCCTGTCCCTGAATACCACTGAGAGGAGTCTTTACTGCCCCACTGTCAGATGTTTATACACTTTGTTGGGATCTCTCTGGGCCTTCTCCAGGCAAAACATCCCCAGCTCCCTCTGCCTCTCCTCCTATGACAGGTGCTCCAATCCCTTAATCATTTCTGTTTTGAACAGCATGGAATTGAAAAGCATTTGGAGAATGCTTATGCTATTAGAATAAGCATTTGTACTTGCTACTTTGTTAATAAGCAGGTGCTTTTTTTCTGTTCCAAACAGGATCAAAAATTACAGATGCACTTAACAGCAAAAGGGGAGCATCATAAGAAACTAAATGAAGTTGAGAAGTGTTATGCTACTATTGCACATCAGTTTGGAGTTGTGAAAGGGATTCATGGAAAATTAGAGCACAGTGGTATGTATGTCTTCAATGTTCTCCAAAAGTTTTTTGCTTTATTTTGCTTCAAGGCTGGGTTGAAGGCACTTGACAGAGTTCAAAAATAGTAGCTGTCAGTGCCACCCATGAAATGTATCAACTGACTATTTCTATATCTGAGTGGTAGTGAGTAGGTTGCTTTGGTAGTAGTTCTTTCTACAGCAGTACCATGTTAAGCAGGATAGTTTGCATGTCTCTTCTGCTCATTGCTATTAAACTAATAGAGCTAGTTTAGTGACCATACTAGATTATACTGAGGAACTGATTTGCTTACAAGGATCCTTCAGCAGACCCCCATCTTCTCAAAGAAGTGTTGTGCTTGCTTTTAATCAATTTTCTGGTGCATTCATCATCCATCCACATAAAAAATTACGATAGCTCACACGAGGGGATGAAAGAAATGCATTAGCAAATATAATAGAGGATAGATGCTCTCTAAACTAGCTTTGATGCCAAGAAAAATGAGCAGAAAACATTAATGAAATTTCATTTGTGTAGTAATAGAACATCTAAAAACCAGATCAGTAAAGAAAGCTGTATGAATAACTTGATTCAGTTACGATTGTTACCTACCTTCCAAATAAATGAGGTATTCAGGCATTAAAAATCTGTGTCTTGTCCCATTTTGTGTGTTATAACTTAACAAAATTATGGAAAAATCTACTAACATACAGAAATGATTCCACATACTTTGATCTTCACTTTAATTATATGTATATATGGATGTGTGTTTTAATCTGTAAAGTAATAAAGCTAATGCATCATATAATGAAAGTCTCACGTAAAAAGTAACTCTGCACCCAAAAATGGGAGCAAAATTTGTTTTACATAACTTATACATTTTATGCCAGTGCATACCAGTGCGTGTGTGAAACATGGACTTCTATTTATTGTTTTCTATGCTTATAGAATATGTCCATATAGGTTATATTATTTTTAAAGAAAGGAAGAAGGGATTGTTCAAAAAAAATCCTCAAATACCGAAGTTCAAATACTTTTTTCTGCCTGAAACCATCTAGCTTTTTCTAGTTTTAATAAACTAGTATAAACAGACATTTCTGGTGTTTAGGTACCTTAAGTTATTTCTTGTATTCAAATTTTTGGAAATAGAATAATGTTCAATATTAGGGAAAAAATGAACAGAAAACCTTGTGCATTATTTTTTGCCTCTTATGGAAAAGCTCTTTCCAACATGAATCCAATATGGAAAATTCTATTTGAAATTTCATGAAAAAGTAACATTTACTCCCAATATTCATACTGTTTGAAGTAAATTATTGTCATGCTTCTATGTATATTTATCAGTGATTGCAAATAGGTGGGTTGTGTGGTGGGTCGTGTGGTGGGGTTTTTTCTTTTCCCCCACAATGTACTATCTTATAAAGGTACCTAGAAAAGTATAGTAACTAGTATATTTCTTCAGGTTTTCACTGTAAAATTTCCCAAAATCTTCAGGTGAAATTTTGGCCTGTATGAAGTCAATGAAAAGATTATTTTCCTGCTCAAAAGGATATTTCTATCTTCCTTTAGGAATAATTTAAAACAAAATATGAGATATGGCATAGGGGATCTATCAATATCTGATAGATCTGATAGTCCCATAGTGTCACGGAACATGGAGCAGTTAAGACATTTTCAATCCAGTTTTTATTTGCTTTTGTATGAAGATGTTAAATTGTATTATACAAATACATTGCAGTTGTAAATGTACGTTCAAAGGTGAAAGAATATGTTGACTTTTTAATTTTTATTTAAAGTACAGGAAGCAATACAACTTAATAAGAAATTAACATCAGTGAATAAAAGACAAGAGACAGAAATAATTAATTTGAAGGAAGTAAGTATAGTATGCATTTCTAAATGTGTAGATGGGCTTTTCTGGGACTTCTACCGGTTAGTGAAGTATTAATACAAGTTGTGCATGCAGTGTTTTTCCTAATAAAATGAATGGCTAAAATAGTCTTACACTTCCTTTTCATGGGCAGATATTTCAGATAAACACCCATCAAACACTGAGTAGCTCTGAAGAGTTTCTGAAACCTAGGAATTCTTATATACCTCTTCAGCTTCCTATTTGTTTTTCCTTTTTTTAAAGGAATTCTAACTGGCATGTGACTAGAAGGGATAATCTCCTAAAATACAGGATATCTTTACTGTGATATATTTTGAATATGCAAACTCAAGAATTTTAGAGATGTTTAAGTATCGCAATAAATTTAATGATTGTGGTTAAAGAAATTAAGTCTTAGAGCTCTCTGAGGGGATATAATTAGCAAGGTCTGAAAAGAAAAATGTTTAAGAATTGTTTTCATTATTAAATTTTAGTGTAATAAATATGGGCAAGATAAACTGATAATGATTTGTGTATTCCAGTAATCAAACATATTGCTTGATCCATTTTTTTCAGCTGTAATATTGATTTGTAAGGTTGTGGGTGATAAATTTTCGATAAAGTACTGTTAGATAAGCAGAAGAAGGGGCCAGCTGAAACTTAATCTGACTTTCTCAGTTCACCAGGAAATGCCTTTATCTTGGCTGTGTGAATTTCTTACTGGATATTTAGTATTTGTCTGTCTCATTACAAATGTGTGTGGAAAACTGATCCGGGATTTAATTCCTTAACCTTTAGCATACATGTGGTGCTGTAGAACTTGACAGTGGGAAAGCCTTATTCCGCAAAAAGTGCTAGATTTGCTTGTTTGTAAGCATTGTGTTGTAAATAAAATTGTATATAATATATAACAGAATGACAAACATTTTTCCTTTAACTGTAGAATTTCTGTGAAAATAGAGTTAAAAGGTAAACAATGCAGTAGGAATGATAATTCATTTTTTTCCAGCAACAGTTTTTCCAGTTCAACAGTTTAATTGTTTCTGGTAAGTTATGTAGTGGGGCAATGCACTCCTCATGCAGAGCTGCTTGGTTAAGACAAATTCTGTTTGCTAGGGGCGTGGACCAGTCTTTTGTGTCAATTCATAAGGAAAGAGAAAAGACCTGCTTCCATCCAGTAAGAAATGCCCAGAGCTAATTTAATATCCTTATGGTTGTCCTGTACTTAGTCCAACTGTTGCAAAAATCATCTCAAGGCTCCTGCCACTCCCATGTTAGGGAATGTATCAGTTGTAGAGCTGAGGGAACCTGTAAGAAATGCAAAGTAACTGGAAAACTCTGATATTTAGAAGAGTTTGGAAGCGAGATTATCACGTTATTTTTGCTCATTGTGAAGCTCGGAGAAGTTCCTGCATCTGCAGCACAAATTGGGATTACTTTGCAAGTTGTATCTTTGATCTTGGAGACCAGACTGACCTCTACTAGATCTAGCAACTTGTGGGTGCAAACTATTTTTCTTTCCGTAGGTATTGATCTCAAAGTTGGAGTAGGAATGACTGTCCTCAATACTAAAATCTTTGGCTGTCAGGCTCTTATCACAGCCATTACTTTAGGTGATTTCACACCTTTGTTCTTAATGGGAATATGAAGTTACTGAATGCAATTTAGCATTTATGGATACAAGTAAGCCAATCTCCAAACTTGATGAAATTACAAGTATGGGATGGGGGTATTCAGAGTGCATGGCAGTAGGACCTGGGTTAAACAGGGGTCTATTCTTTGCAGGATTTGTCTTTAGGGATTTGTGGAAAGAAATATTACAGAAAGAGGATGTGGTTTGTTCTTGACATGGCCTCCTTACAAGTCTAGTTATGATAGCCTGGCTTAACAGACTCTCTAGCATAATATCACTTTCAGTAAGGTTTATTTTAGGATTTGAGCTTTTACATATTAGATAGGATAGGATTTTTTTTCATGCACTATAAAATGCTCCACTTGAAACCTGGCCAAGGAAAACAACACAATGAAACAAACCTTTAAAGAATGGCTATGCTGATTAAGCCCTGAAACTATCCTGGAGAGTCGCACCAATCTAGCAAGAGCAGGAAGGGGGGACAGGGGAAAGTCTTGTGGTTATTTTGGCTCCCTTTAAGCTTGTGTAAGCCACCAGCAGTGTCTTGGGAAGCAGATGCATCTACCTGCCTTGGCAGCGGTTTCTAGTCCTAAACTACCATTCTGTGCTGGCACACACATTTCTGTGGCCCACAGGGAGAGTAGAAGGAGAATTTTGTATTGATCAAAACTAAATTTGACTAGAAAGCAAGTGAGTTTTAGCTTAGAGCAACTGGCAAAAGGAAAAGAGTAGGACTGTTTCTTTCAGTGCCGCTCTTGATATATGCTGGCTTGAAGCATTTCTACAGTGTTTTCCTGAGTGTTGGCTGCTATGAAAATCAAAAAAAGCTCTAAAGTCTTAGCTAGCTTCTTTAGCATTTCCTGGCAAAGTTATAAAATTATTTTCCAGATTCCATTGAATTTATAAGGTTTTATGTACCACCACTGATCTTTATTAATGGCAGAAAGCTGACAGAAGAGAAGCAGAAACTTGGGCTATTTTACACATTTATAAAATATGTTTTTACAGCTAGATAGCACTTAGAAAACTGTCCTGTTATTTTTGATCTGTGTTGGTTCTTTTTATTTGTTTTGTTGTCTGTTTGTTTTCCTTCTGACGACTTTAGTAGACCACCACAGTTGGGACTTCTAGCTGATGGATTATACATGTCCACCTGCTGTATGCAAGAAAAAAGTCATCTTTCCTACCTCATGGGCATGATGCAAAATAAGTAGTAAAGTGCTTGTGCATGGCACTAAACTCTGAGTTTTGGTAAATATGTAATATCAGATCCATAGGAGGCTCTTGCACCTGCTCATATAGCATACAGAGTTTATTAACTGTCTCTTCCATATCATGAATCTAGATCTCAGTAGGGGATGGCACTGTGCATTTTTTCACTTCTACAAAGTCAAACTGCTTGCACCTTCTTCCATTTAAATGAAGAAACTCTCTTGATTTCTTTTACTAGAGGAATCTAGTAAAATTAGGGTAACTATTATGTTTTTTTTATTGCAAAGAGGGGAAAAAGCCCTGTGAGATAACTGAACACTGCAGACCGAAAATGTAGTTTGAATTGTCTAATTGACTCGGAGATTATATGTAGTTCCTGCCTGATAATTTTAGATTTATTTATGACTAAAATATTTGAGAAATCATGTTAGTAAAAATGATTGATTTTGAAGTAGTATCTATATTTGTATTTGCTGTGTAACTTTGTATTTGTGAATTTCAGTTACAACCTAATCTTCCTTTTTCTTCTGTACTGCTATATGATTTTGTCCAGAACAGTTAAACCATTGGTCTGTGTGATAAGATGGAATTCCAGTTTTGTGAAGAAAAGTTAAACAGACCAAACTTACTTGTTAGATAAAACTATTACCATTCTGAATGCTTGGTTCACCACTATGGCATCATGAAGAATTCTTGATGCTATCTGTGAACAGCATTCATAACCTCTGCTATTTGTCTGAGTAAACGTCAGAGCGCTCAAGGAGAGAGCGATATTAAACAGACTACCTTGTACTAGAATGGGAGGGGTAAGGGAGAAAAGGGCACAATATTTATGACTCCAGGAACTATAAGTTGTAATTTAATGAGATCAAAGCGTTTGCTGTTTATTCACTGCACTAGGATCTTGGAATAAACTGGTTAGAAAACAGATACCAAAAAGAAGCAGGATATTTAAGAGATTATAAAGACTGTAAAATCAAAGGCATATTTTAAATGAAAAATCATGTTGTACAAGTCTCTAGTATAAAATTAATTTAGCATTCTCCTGAGATTAAGTAATTAATGTTTTGGGGAAAGCAAAGATCCTCCAAATTTATGGCCAGTTCCTGTTTTTGCCAGATATTCACTTTTCTTCCTTTTTTTTTTTTCCCTCCTGATTCACGTGAACATATGCAACAGTTCTTATAGGTACTTTATTTCTATTGTATATGTTAATGTTCTTACCATTATCAATTACCATGTAATTCAATGCTCGCTTCTAATATACTCCTAGGAAGCGAAAATATTGAAATAGACGCTGTTATTTGTACATAATAATAATAGAAAAGAAATTGTAATTATTTTATTCAGAAATACTTCAAATGGGGTAAAATTATCACAATAATATTTTCCTGCTAAAAATAAACTCTTAGCCACATTTGGCAGCTTAAAGGGTAGCTAATCATTTTTATGAATTTTGGTTCCTCTGTTTAATTTATTCTGGTGTTTCCATGTGTTATTTAAAAGTAGGACATGACTCAAGATAGTTTAAAAGATTTGTCTTTGTTTTGAATTGTAATGCCTATACTGGATGAACTATTTATATGTGCTTCCTGTGTTAAGGAACTGAAGAAAGTAACTACAGACTTGATAAGGTCCAAGGTCACTTCTCAGTACAGGGTGGGAGAAGAAAACATCAATCTTGCAGCCAAGGAAAAAGAGTTTCAAGCACTACAACAAAAAATCAGAATGGTATTTTAATATTTAAGAAATTAAATTTTTGCTTAATATTCTATTGCTCATCTAGAGAATGTTGTGGCAATGATTTGTAACATGTACACATTAGTGCTTCTTTTCTCCTAATTGCATATACTGTATGATAAAATTTCCAAGAGTGTTTACCTCTTCAATGATAGTAAATATACTATAAACATAATATAAGAAAACAATTTCAAAAATGCTTTAAATTCTTTAAATAGTCTGCAGGTGATGATGCACAATTTTCCACCAATACAATATTACTAAAGAAAATATGGAGTAATTTTAAATGTCTGTCATACTGTTTCATGTGCCTTATTTTTTTTAAGGAGATGGAATTTAGTAAAAAACTTCAAGAAGAAAATGCTCACATTAAAGAAGAAAAGCTGGTGAGTTGTTAATATAGCTTTGGTATTTAAAAATGCTTAAGAATTTATATTCTATGTATTACATATAAGACTATTAAGTGATCAAACTAAGCTATTACATTCACTTTTTTACTTTTCAGGCACAATTTAATAACAACGCAGATGAGATCTTTACTCAGTTTTGAAAAAGTGAATTAGCAGAGCAAATTACATTTTTAACGTTGTATTACAAGTCTTAACTTTTTTTTTTCTTTGAATTCAGATGTTAGAACCTTGGCATACCCATGAAAATAATTGTTCACTTGTCTATTCAATAT